GTCGCCAGCGAGCGGAACGAGATCCTAATTAAATTATGTGGAGCGTGACTGCGCGCGCGCATCTATGCTCCGAGTTTTTCAGACCGTCGATTTTGTTGTACCAAACACGCGCCCGCGGCGCACCGTCTAATTGCGGGTAGCGTGCTACTTAACGACTTAGCCGAATTAAGTTTAATGCATAAATGGGATTATGTCGCGTGGAGACATGAGCCTAACTGATGACACTCAACGTTGCCCATGTCTTCTTCACAGCCTGTTGCCCGCGACATCATCCGCGTAGTTTTCCATAATAATGTGATGTAAATTCTGATGTAGGTGACAAGACAATAAGCTCTAGTAGGTAGTAAATTTACACCATTCGTCCACGACTTTTGCTGGGAATCGTGTAGGTAACAAATCCTTCTAGGTCTATCATTGTGACCAGGGAAAGTTACTTCCCTATAATGATTGTTTGACCTTTCAATGGAGCCTTGTTTGATGTTAAAAAGTATAGTTGGCCGGTACGGACGATATAAGAAAGGTCAAGAACCCACTAATAATGATAAATAATAAAAAAATACAGGGTGTCCCGTAATGTAACGTCAAGCCGGAACTGGGTGTTGAGGCAAGTTGTGCTGGTTATCAGAAAAATATAAAAAAAAATCTATGTAGCATATTTTAAAAATAATAGGCATTTAAAAAAAATCAAAAAATTCTACTCCAGGTGACGGTCCTTTTGCTCGTGTTGCCACAAATCTTCACTTTTTCCAAATTTTTTTTTGTTATGTAACCCTGAATAATGCTTCTCTAAATTGTTATCAAAATTACAAAACCAGCTGCTCCAGCTTGGATGAAAAAAATACATTATTCCCAAAAAAAATTTCAAATTAAAAATTTTGCCTAGTTTAAACTGACTGTACTGAAAAAAAATTGTACTACGCGAGTGTGGCAAGTGACGTCATAATTTGGCGCATTTAGTAAGGATTCCAAAATGGTATAACACTTGGTAAATTCTTGCTGTAATTGTCGACAATTTTTGTATTTTTTGGAAATAATCCCGTTTTTAACTTTATCTACCTTGGTTAAAAATATTATTCTAATGTGACCAAAATTCAAGTTTCTGGCTTAAGTGAGGTGAAGAAGCCATTTTAAAAGGTATGAGCGGGACGGAGAGGGCCATCTTACCAAGCAGGGATGTTATGGATATCCGTAACCGTAACCGAAACTATCGGATATCCGAAATAAAAAAATATCCATAACCGTAACCGAAACTGATTCAAAAGTTACGGATAGTTTCGGATAAAGGCGGAGTCTAAAGTTTAAAGTAGGCAAAATTTTTAATTTGAAATTTTTTTTGGGAATAATGTATTTTTTTCATCCAAGCTGGAGCAGCTGGTTTTGTAATTTTGATAACAATTTAGAGAAGCATTATTCAGGGTTACATAACAAAAAAAAATTTGGAAAAAGTGAAGATTTGTGCAACACGAGCAAAAGGACCGTCACCTGGAGTAGAATTTTTTGATTTTTTTTAAATGCCTATTATTTTTAAAATATGCCACATAGATTTTTTTTTATATTTTTCTGATAACCAGCACAACTTGCCTCAACACCCAGTTCCGGCTTGACGTTACATTACGGGACACCCTGTATATCCAATTAATACGGGGGAAAAAATGCCTGTTAGGCAATAATAAATTAAAAGATTCATTTATTATTGCCTGAAAGACTTCCAAATTAAAAAATATTATTTGAGTAGCTAAAAAATAACAAATAAATTAAACGAAAACAATTTCCTTCGTCATAAGTTATAAAAAAATGCCTAGCTACTTATTTACTAAAAAAATCAAACAAAATCTTTACTGCTGAGGGAAAACGAGCGTTGTTAATAAATAACAATAAAAACACTAGAAGAATTACAACTCTTCGATTTTGAAGTTTGTCCGAACTCTATTTTATACACAGGACAGGCAATGCCTAGTGTGGAGGTCTGTCTTTTAGTTATTGTATTGTTTAATTCTGGCAATAAATAAATATTTTCATTTTCATTTATTTATTGATAGAGATTTACCAACAATAAATCATTTCACATGCATTGTTACATATTTACCTATTACTATACCTAATCTAATAATCATTTTTAACTGCCGCCATACTTTTAGATTGTTGGTACGCTTTCTTTTAAATTATGGGTGCCTTCTGCTCGTTTTATTGTTGTATATTTTATTGCCGAATCGTTAATAATATATGATTTTTAAAACTTACCAATATTTATTTTGATGCTCTAAATTAGTGCCAATTATGAGTCAGTTCCTGGTATTCTGTCTTTTTCACTTTTCGATTTCTTCGCTGTCCACAATAGTTCCGGGCCGATAGTGAACACGGCAAAGTAGGTTATTTTTCTGAGGCTGTAATATGCAAAAAAATAACGCTACTTAATCGAAAACTTTAATAAAACTTCGTGTGCAAACGTTACATTAAAATTTGATTGATTAAAACAACTCAAGTCATTAGGCAGTAACGAACTACTTCATATTAGGTACATTGATAGACAGTTAATGACTAATGTTGATAAAAGTTATAATTAATATCAGCAGGTAAATAATTTGCAATATTTCATAACTAAATCACATTCTGTACCTAATCATGCGATAATAATTTTGTCTGTCAGCCTACCTGTAACTAACATTTTTGCTGGACCAGAGTACCAATTTAGATTCATTTAGTAAATAATAAGTTTTATTGATTTGGATCCACCAAATTGTAACATTATTATTAATTAACAATAAACTTGAAAGAAAAATTGTACAATTAATTTTATTATAGTTAAATTGGCAACATTCCTCGAGTTACAAATATGAAATTACGTTTATTTTTATGCATTTTTGTGTGACTAATTAAACTAACTATAAATAAGTAATTTAAAATCTTGAAAAAATCTAAATGCCCAACTTTTCAAGTTATTTAAAATTTAGTTTGAGATGCTACTCATAAAACTCATTTTATTTTTGCAAGTTATGCTTTTAAAAAGCACTTTTAAGTACACGTCCCAGTATTAACCCTACCACTGCTTCGGGACAATAGGCCCAGTGCTGTAAAGAAGCAGCGCAAGAAACTCAGTGTTGTCAGCCTCTTTTTCAAGACTTATCGCTAAACAATTTGGTAACCAGCCAAGCCAGCCATGCAGAGCACAGCACACCGTGCAGATGAAGTAGCGTTCACCAGTTAGTGAACTCGTAAACTAAGAGGTACCGTATGTAAGAAATGCGGGAGATGGTCTCCCGCCGAGCAATAAAATCCGCATTTCAACAGATGTTGTAAATCGCAAAAAATGTTTATGCTTTGGCACTAATTAATTAGTAACAAGTAGAAACTTCACGCGTTGCTGGCTGTGCAGCTTTGTGTAGTCTTTGTCCTAGATAGATACCTACCTAGTTTCTTGCAAGCTAAATAAATCTTTAAGGCGGTCTAGTATTCAAGTTGAATTAAGCTAACTTTTTAACTAATTAAAAAATATTTATGAGGTGTTGGTTTGTACTCGTAGACCGTAGTACATTCGATGTTATGTTATTATCACTATATTTTTCCTTTCCTTGGGAACTTAAATTAATATTAAGTACAACAAATAGAAGCTTGCCGAGGCCGACCCAACTATCGGCCCACTACACGCACACACACGGAAGAAAAAAAATAAATGGAAAATAAGGTCAAAAAGGTATAATTTCTTTTTTGTTTCTTGGAAACCAAGACAGGTTTCCGCGGTTTTCGACTGTGTACCTACTGTGTGGTTCGGAACATGGAGGTATAATACCTCCATGGGTTCGGAACATGAAGCTACAGATTAAAATGGAGGCCACACTCCGAATACCTACTTGAAGCACAAACTAAGTATCACTATCTCGCTCTCTGTGGGCAGACTCGCTCTTTCTAAATAAATAAAAAATATAAAATTGCTCAAATTCAATGAAACCAATGTAAAATCTTTATTTCTTGACATAGGTATCATTAAAAATGATAAGTGTAATTACTGGTAAAACGTTTTAGGAATAAATTACTGTAAAAAATGAGAAAAATGTTTACAATGATCCAATGTCGGAAATCACGAAATAAACACTTACGCGTGGAATCTTATGTCAATTCCAGGACACCACGTACTACCGCAACCACGCACTACAAAATGTTGCACCAATTCTTGTGATAAAACAATGATTATTTCCTGTAAACAATCTCAAACGAAATTAACTGCTTAATAAACAAAATAGTAAACAACCGCCATGATGGGCCGGATTGGGCCGATGTTGCCACATGGTACCGATTACCCAGGAATTGGGATTGTAATTCCCTGATTCGCCAACACATTAAGCCTAAATGGCCGACAATTTTGTGATTTTTTATTTAACTAGGTAATCTTAGTTTCAAATATTAATTATTTATTTGTTTAACTTCTGATTTGGTTAGTGAATTGGCTATTTCGAAGAATTTACAAGATTTAAATCAGAAGATAGCAATACTACAGTTCACACTAAAAAGAGAGGTAGGGCCGCAGAGAGCGAGATAGATATAAGTAGGTATTTGACTCAAGTTTTTGTTCCAACTCTGCCCTCCATTTTTATCTTTAGCTTCATGGTTCGGAACACAGATATTGTGGTTCGGAACTGTTTTATCATCCCTCCTAGCCCTCCGTGTCCCTCTCCCCACTTCTATATCTTGCCTGCTTGGTTTAAATGACTTTGATATTTATAAATGTATTTCTGAATATTTGATTATAAATAATATTAAACTTTAATTAACTTATAATATTATATTAACATGCCTTAATTTCCTCTATACATATATTGTATTATATTATTTAATCTCTCACCTCCCAACTTGATCCTCATCCCCTTTTGTACTCCACCCCGGTTTGTTTTTTACCTAAACGTTTCCTAACCTTTTCTCCCACACCGTTGTGGCTAAACGCAAACCGCGAAAGCCAAAAAAAAAAAAAAAAACAGTTTGACATTGACATTTGGGACTTTTGACAAGACAGTAAACTGTCAAAGTCGTAATTTTCAATTTTGAGGTTAGAGTATTATTGGCGTAAAAATAATGAAATAAATTGATTTATTCTACTCAAGTTCAAGATATTTTTGGGACTAAATAGCAGAATCATAATGGCGTTAAATCCGTTAAGGCTTGTGTGCCTGCAAAAGGCTGTTCAAAATGTATTCACTACTATGGCTAAACGACCAATGGCTTATAAAAGTTCTATCTCATTGGAAACTCTTTATCCAAATAGCTCCCTAAAACTAACTTCACCTTCTTTTGTAAGTAATCACACTTGAATGTTAAACTATAATATCTAGTCAATATAAACTCACCAGCACTTAAAACATGTTTCAGAGTGTAGATGCAAAAGACAAGTTTTCTGGCTTCATTCCCATCGAAAAGCTGGTAATCACTTACAGTGCCAGCTCAGGACCTGGAGGACAAAATGTTAATAAGGTAAGGAAAATATCAAAGATAAATTTTAGGATGTCGGTACTCTATTTCAGATAACTTACTCTGATATGTGTTTTTGTTTCTATTGTTGACTTAAATCTTACAGGTCCACACGAAGGTTGACCTTAGATTCAAGCTCAGTGACGCAGACTGGATCCATCCTGAAATTCGTCAAAGAATGCAGGAGATGGTAGGCATTGTTTTTTCATGACAATAGTAAAACTAGTTTTTAACAAACATAGGTTATAATGTAAGACAAGTTGTTAATGTTTTTTGTATTGTAATGAATGATTGTAGTACTCAAACAAGCTGACAAAGGACGGCTACCTGATCGTCCGGTCAGACATCACTCGCTCCCAGCAGCTGAACCTGGCCGACTGCATGCAGAAAGTACGGAAGTTGATCCGTGACGCTGAGCTCCCCGAGAAGGTGGCCAGCCCGGAAACTGAGGAGAGGATCAGACAGAGGTGAGTGAGACCTTGTTGAATGAACACTTATCATTTAGGTAGGCTGTGATAGTATAATTATACCTAACAAACATTTTGTGTGAAGCATTTTTTGTTTGCCCTTTCTTTCTTTTTACACAAAATTGAAAATGTATTTCTATCCTGATATCAGTAATTTTTTTACATTTAATAAAATATTATTCTTTTTTTTTCAGACACCTGAAAGCAGCGCGAATGCGTGTAGCTGTGAAACGTGAAGCAGCTATCAAGCGCACTATGAGACAGCCACCCTCCGCTTTTGACTTATGATTCTTTTATTAAATTGGGCATACAACCGATGGCTGGTACTCCTATGATTTGCACTACTTGCTCACTTAACTGAGAATAGAATCGTTTGAGTCTCAGCCTAATACTTTTACTGTTTTGATAGTTAGTTTAGCCATTAGTTAAGTAAATAAATAATTATGTTGTGTTTTAATTTTGTTTTGATTTTATTTTCTTATTTAACAATTTTTTAACTCAGTATTTACCTATTTTATTACGGTCGCACGCAGTGAAGCATTACGATATTGAAAACGCCTACGAAAATATTACTAGCAAAGTTGGCACTCTCATGATTTGCTCTTATTCTTTCTTTAGTGCACATATAAATATTAAACACTGATATAACTAGCTTTTTTTTTTCATTTTATTAAGGTTTTGCACAAAGTATTTTATATGAAAAATCCTACTTGTTCACGAATTTGGCAAGGACTTTCTATCAAAATAGTAAATGAATACGACAGCTTTTTGAAGTGTATTTTAATAAGCTGTCGTAGTATGCCCAATTTACTTACATGTAAGCTCATGTAAGCCATAATATAATTAAATTAAATTTTAAATTACGTACTATATTAAAATTAGAAATAAGTTAAACTAACCGACATAATGCGACGTCGGTGACTAGCTCACGTGATGTTTGTCATTAAACAGTATAGTTTAAAACTGTAAATATTAATTAAAATTTCTGTGAAAAACTATATTAATGTAGGTATGTAGGTATTAACATTTTATGAAAATCTCATTAGTAGTTTTGCGTGAAAGAGAGATTTTTTGCGGGAAATAATTAGAATTTAGTTAAAAATATGTAATTTCATTTGTAGCCTTTTGTAACAAAGTGTGCTTTGTGTAGAATGCCATTAGAACATTGCGAATGTTGTTTAAAAAACAATATTTAACGTAGGGTACCTTTAAAATGTAGATGTAGTAGTCCTTCCTTCTTCCTTCTTTCCTAGTCAAATCAGGATTAAGAAGTCCTTTAGCAGTATGGAGGTGCTTGAAGGTACCGTTAAGTTTAAGTTTTTAAATAAATTCATGTTGCTCCAATCAAACAATATTTTCTTTTACCTTCCTTGGAAATGATTATCGCATAATATTTTCAAATTAAAGTAAGGTAAAAACTGGTATAGCCTGACCAGGAACATAAAAACCCTGGCATAGTGGCGCGTCAATTGCATTTGATAGTGCAACACTGAGTACAATCGTACCTGTGTTAAATTAATAGGCTAACTTTATGTATCAGGATTCAGGATTACGGGTTAATTTAATATTTTCATGAATTAACGAAAACATATTATTATAGGTAACCTGGTTTAAATAAATTAAATGAAACCATCAATCGAGCTAGTAGGATTTATTTTATTATTCATCAATAATCAAATTCAGAACTTGAATATTCAACTGCAATGTCTGCTCATGAACGCTTCAGACTCGGTACTTCTTTCCCAATTCCATAAAATTCAACACTTAGAAAGTGACAAAAAAAATTAAAATAGTTGAAACAAACCACAGCTAATTTTCATAGTGGACTGTACTATACGATACACATGTCAGTCAATTTGACAACCTTTGTCGGAAACATTATTCAATGAAAATATTGTCCGAACCCTTAGTATTTCTCTTCGTCAAATACTTTAACACATTGTGAACCACTTTTCTTTCACGACTATAAAAAGATTTTAGCAATTTAATTCACAAAATCAGTTGCGTACATTTAAAATAAAGTTTGTTTACACTTTGACAGCAATAGACTGACATGCAAGGTGACATGTCAATGAAGTTTTCAGTTACTGTTGCCATTAAAAGAAATTAGTACCATTAGTTTTCCGCAACATGGCGAGGGTTTTTATGTTCCTGGTCAGGCTATAAAAAAAACATCATAATCTTCTTTTTTTTTTTTTCAATACACAATGACATGGATTTGGAAACCACGATTTCGCCCTATGATTTTGCCGTGTGTCTTCCGATTCCATTGCCATGCCCATGTTGTCATTTCAGTTGCCATAGTTACAGTGCGATAGTTTAGATATCAACAAATATTTTGAAAACGTTTGTGTTTGTGACTTCGATATTTTGTCCTAAATATTTTGCCCCGATGTCTTACAGGGATTTGCGAAGTAAGTTTTTTTTTATAATGTGTAAATATAAAAATATCACTAGACCAGATAAAGCTTTTGCTTCCATCTCCAAAACTCCAAAGCAGTCACTTTTAATCTCACTTTTAACTTAAGTAGTTCTTGACACGGTAATATCACGGTAATAATATCATACAGTATTGTAACTTCATATAAACCGACGAAACGCGAGCATTCCTTCGAATTTCAAATTTCGGTACGCGGTCGAAAGTAAAAGTTAGGGGTGTCGCGAATGTGCCGAACGGACGTCGATGGCCTAGTGTTGAAAATGACTAAGTTGATTGAATTTGACTTACCGTCTTAAACGGTCAAATTTTTCAAAAACTACCTAGTCATTAACTGTCAGAAATGGTCATTTTCAGTCAGTTTGATTTGAAATGAAAATTATATTGTATTTAAAACCAGCTTTGGCCCACGACTTCACCCGCCTGAAATTAAAGTAACCGGTCATTATGATTAGTAGATTCAAAATTATTTTAGTATTTTTTTTTAAATTAAATCTAGTAACCACAAAACAACACGCATTTTTATCCTATTCCATTCAAAAAGTATTTTGTTTGTCTAAATAAAAAAAAATTACAATCACAATACTAGATAGAAATTCTAAGTAGACAGATGTAATTAGAATGGATACTGTAGGTGAGCAGCCCTATCGCATGTTGTCATACCGTGACGTACCGCGGGGCTGTTGACATTTATTTCAAAAATATGGCCGAGTTGGAATACTGTATAGATAGTATTACCGTGGTAATATTATCATACAGTATTGTATCTTCATATAAACAGACGAAACGAGAACTTTCTTTCGAAATTCAAATCTCGGTATGTAAAAGTCGGGGGTGTCGCGAATGTGCCGAATGGACGTCGGTGGCCAAGTGTTAAAAATGACAAAACTGATTGAATTTGACTGACCGTCATTTACGGTCAAATTGGTTAAGAACTAGTCAAAATATCATTTTCAGTCAGTTTGATTTCAAATGAAAATTATATTGTATTAAACCAGCTTTTTCCCACGACTTCGCTCGCCCGATATTAACGTAACAGATCATTATGATTATTAAAGTTTCAAAATTATTTAAGTAGTTTTAAATAAATTAAATCTACTTATCACAAAACAACACACTTTAACCTATTCCATTCACAAAGTATTTTGTTTGTCTAACTAAATAAAAAAATACAATCACAAAACTAGATAGAAATTCTAAGTAGGCAGATGTAATTAAACTGGGTACTGTAGATGGGCAGCCCTATCGCATGTTGTCATACTGTGACGTACCGCGCGACTGTTGACATTTATTTCAAAAATATGGGTTAGTCCCAACGGCCCCGGTGGATCTGCCCCGTCAACGGGGTGGATGGGAAAAAGTGTTTCAACGTCCCCGGTAGTCATAGTCTTAGCGTTCAACGGGGTGGTTGGAACACATCAAGTGTCAACCACCCCGGTATATCGTTTAACGGGGCGGATGGATCAAATCAAGTTTCAACCACCCCGGTATTTCACTAATCGTGGATGACACAGATCTAAAAGGTTCCACCTCGGTATTGCATACCGAAAATAAAACCTGTTAATGAAATAAAAAATAATAATATGTAAATAATAATCAGTTTTATTTAACACTGTTTAAAAAATCTTCAGCATAAAAGTAAGTTTAATTGTCACAAAATATTATAGTCATAAACCTATAGATTACGTTTAGAATCACAGATGCGCAATTGCATTAATCAGTCAATATTTATAACACACTAGTAGTCTAATGTGATAAAAAGTAACTCTAAAATTGTTTCAAAATATTATTATTTAAGAATCATAGATACGTATTTTTTATTTGTTTGTATTGGACTGGGTGTGTAGGGGTTAGTTTCTAAGTATAATAAGTATGTATTTACAAAAAAAAAGTATTTAAGTATATTTATTTATTTATATCCGTTGTCTAGTACCCATGGTACAAGCTTTGCTTAGTTTGGGACTAGAAGCGCAGTGTAAAATGTCTAAGGATATTTATTCATTTATTTTATTTATTTAGTTACATTAATCAGTTGTTGATCTTATATATATATAAAAGAAAGTCGTGTTAGTTACTCCACTTATAACTCAAGAACGGCTGCACCGATTTAGCTGAAAATTGTCAGGGAGGTAGTTTAGAGCCAGGAGAAGGACATAGGATACTTTTTATCCCGTTCGAAATTAAAAAATAAGTCTGCTTATTTATTGCCATTAAGGCGGAACAAAGTTCGCCGGGTCAGCTAGTTAACAATAAAAGTAAGTTTAACTGTCACAAAATATTATGGTCATAAACTTAAAGATTACTTTTAGAATCACAGATGCGAAATTAATAATAAGACTCCTATAAACGTTTACACTGTTNGAGTGTTATTAATATTGACTGATTAATGCAATTGCGCGTCTGTGATTCTAAAAGTAATCTTTAAGTTTATGACCATAATATTTTGTGACAATTAAACTTACTTTTTTATGCTGAAGATTTTTTAAACAATGACTGTTAAATAAAACTGATTATTATTTACATATTATTATTTTTTATTTTATTAACAGGTTTTATTTTCGGTATGCAATACCGAGGTGGAACCTTTTAGATCTGTGTCATCCGCCACGATTAGTGAAATACCGGGGTGGTTGAAACTTGATTTGATCCATCCGCCCCGTTAAACGATATACCGGGGTGGTTGACACTTGATGTGTTCCAACCACCCCGTTGAACGCTAAGACTATGACTACCGGGGACGTTGAAACACTTTTTCCCATCCACCCCGTTGACGGGGCAGATCCACCGGGGCCGTTGGGACTAACCCAGATAGATCCTGGCTACACAGGAGTTGCAGTGGTGGGAACGAGAGGTGGGAATACTCCCGTTTTAACTTAGTTCTATTCATTCTTTTAGCAGGAAAAGGCAAAGGCATACCTACCTACATCCATAATGCCATACAGCCAAAGTTACATTCAGTCTACCTAAAAGCCCATCATAGTCAACGTGTTCTGTTTGGCTCAGATTTCAGCGAAGCCATGCGCGTGCTGGGCTTCCCGGAGCCGATCTCGCTGGAGAGCTTCCGGAGCCCCAACTGGGCGCTGCTAGAAGCCTGTCTTCGCTGGTTGGCGGCGCGCGTGGAGCCCGACGCGGCGCTGGCGGGCGGCGCCGCCTCCGTGGACCAGCGGGTTGCCATGGTCACGCATGCGGTCGCGCTCTTTGTAAGAGCTTTTTTTTAAAATATTTTTATGATTATCGATACAATTTAGCTTACCACGAGGGGCTAACGGAACTATTAGTAACTAAAAAAACTACCAACTTTGCTAACTTTAAAAAAAAAGTTATGAACGCTTGGGCTCTTTTTTTTCAAATAGAGCGCCGGGTTAGACACAGGTAGGTTGATGTTTTAACCCTTATTCAAATAAAGGTAAATATATTACCACTTTGTTTACTTTTAAAAAAGAATCCTAATTTTCGATATGGTAATACTTAAAGATATCTTGGTCACTTATTTATATTTTTAAATATATTTTTTTACTTATCTATGCCATTTTACAACTTTTCAACGTCATTTGTCACTGTCAGGTAATGTCAAAGTCAACCAAACGGTTTTGGTGTGAAAAATTTCAAGTTTTTAGCGCGCGTTTTTGGTATTTTTGAAACTTTGTTCAACGAAAATTCTGATAAGTGTTTTTTGGATTCAAATTCCTAAACTATAACATTTATTGTATAATCTCACTTATAGACAACGTCTGCAATTGATTTATTCATATAATTTAGACATTTTAAAGAAGTGGTAAATAGTTTACCATTGTCCGATCCCGTCTTGACAAAAGTTTGATGATATATAAAAAAACTGCTGTTTTTTGTATATGCACAAATAAAACTAAATAAATATTTGGAGAAATTTTAAGTTATTTTGATATCTATTTACGTAACGTTTTGACGTTACGTAATTAGTGAATTGTTAGTTTCAGACTCAAGGTAAGCATCCTAATTGTAAGCATAATAAGTAATATTAATAAATATAAAAACAATATATTTATTTCATTCCCAAAATATTTAATAAAATATAGGTAGAACCAAGAGGAAGTCACTAGTCAAGAACCAAAAATAAACCAAAACGGACAATGGTAACTATTTTACCACCAACATTTAATAATTCGTAGTCATGAATGGATAATGGTAAATTATTTACCACCCAAAAAACTACCCCTTCCCCTATTTTTTTATAAATTTTGATCAAAAATATGAAATAAGTGACCCACAATTACCCAAAATCCACTTCAACTTTGTAAAAAAAATGCATACCAGCTCGCGTTTGAATAAGGGTTAAAGATGTATCATAAAACCATGTTAGAAAACTTCTGGATTCTGGAGAGAAGGTGCGCTAGTGCTTTTCTCTTAGGCCCAAAACACGGTGAAACGCAATTGCAACGAAACTGCAACTTCAAGTTTTTCCAGTTGTTCTTCCAGTTTGAAACCGGTTTGAAATGGTCGCGTCATGTGTGGTCTCTCAACGGAATCTATGGCAGAAACTTAGATGCAACTCAAAAGTAACTAGAAGTTGCAGTTTCGTTGCAATTGCGTTTCACCGTGTGTTCTGGGCCTTATTCGTATGGTGCCAGGCAACTCATTAATAACTCAGATGACTCCTTTTTGACATTGTACTTGGCAGCATTCCCGCGCGAACTTGAAGCTGAACGGCAAGAGGCTGTATGGCGCGGACGGCTGGGCGGTGCGCGAGCTGCTAAAGGCAGCAGGACTGCTGCGGGCAGCCCTGGAGGCGCCGCCGCCCGACGACCACCAGCCCGACGGCTCCGCGCTGCACTACGACGTCACCAACCGGGTGAGACAGGGTCTATTACTAGCAGCCTGGTCGCCATAGCCTATGGAAGGTGTACGCGGTTGGTTGAGCGGTGCGCGAGCTGCTGAAGGCAGCAAGGCTACTGCGGGCAGCCTTGGAGGCGCCGCCGCCCGACGACCACCAGCCCGACGACTCCGCGCTGCACTACGATGTTACCAACCGGTTGAGGCAGGGTCAACTATGATCGGCCCTGGCGCCACAGTGAAAGGTGTAGGTACGTGCTGGGTGTTCAGAAGGCGATCAGCAACCCGAAAGCTCAGCGCTCAGCTACGACGTCACCAACCGGGTGAGATGGTGAAAGCAGGGGCTATGACTGCTACAAGCAGCCCTGACGTCGCCACAGACTATGAGAGTCTACCGCTGAATACATTCCGCGGTTCCCCTTTTCTTTTCTACTTACTACCTGTCTACCTTATCTATAGGTTTTCCAAAATTCTAAACTAAACTTTTTTGATTTTCAGCTAGGAGAAATAAAACTGGCCCGATCATTAGCAACAGACATCACTGCGCAGGGCGCTTTCCTCTACGATCTGCTGGCTAAAGAGGCAGAAAATAAGGTAAAAATAACCGGTTCATTTCCGCCTTGTAAAATCGTTCGTTTCAGCCGAATGACGTCCACTGCTGGACAAAGGCCTCCCCCAAGGATTTCCATAAAGACCGATCCTGCGCCGCTCGCATCCAGGCACCTCCCGCGACCTTCACCAGATCGTCGGTCCACCTAGTGGCCTTGTAAAGTTGTTTAGTTTTAGAGTAGGCGCACACCGTGCACCGTTGATTTTTCGTCGGCCGATAGTTTAGTCGGGCAGTTGATCAGTATGGGCATGTATGGGAGTGCGCACACTACGCCGATTCGATTTGGCCGATTCTTCATACAATTTAAAATCGGGCACAACTATCGGCCAACTAAAAATCAACGGTGTGTGCTTACTCTTAGTTTTCCACTGCAAGAGGATGACCTTCTCTATATGGGGAGGTTTAGATATTTAGTCCTTAGTTGCCTCTTACGACATCCACGGGATAAACGGGAATGGTCCTCAGAATTCTGCTTTGCCGAAACCACACGGCTACATGGTTATTATATTGTGTACCTATCGCAGGAGGTCCGCGAGCAAGCACTATCACGTCCGCTGGACATGTCGGCGATGGAGGCAAGCCTGCGACGCGCGCTGGAGTCGGCGGGGGGACAGCTGTCGGCGGCGCGCGAGCAGATCACGAACGTGGCGGCGAGCGAGGCCGCGCTGGATGCCAAGCTGGAGCGCCGACGCGCTGAGCTGCTCAGAGCAGAGAAACGACTGCACACCGTGCAGAAGATCAAGTGAGGAGTACCACCTTCCATGTGATGTGGTTATAAAACGTTTTCTTTCATTTCGATTCAGAGACGCAAATACTTAGTGCATTAATCTGCACTAATTTTATTTTCTCTGTCTATTTGCTTTTCCTTTTTTTCTTGTGTAATTTTTCTTTGTAGGTACAAGGTATTTCTATGGATTATAAACAATGAAAATCATTTCAGACCGTATTGTTCATGTACCACTAACACAGGCCTTTAGGGACTTTTTTCAGGGGTTGAAACATATTGAACACTTTCGTAGCCCCGTAAGGCTGCGTTTCCACCAGAGATGTGCGAGGACGCGAAGCGAGGGTGCTTCATTTACGATTCGATTGGTTCTTAACAAATACATCCTTCGCTACGCATCCTCGCACATCTCTGGTGGAAACGCAGCCTAATCGTAGCTAACGTCCTACAATTAGGCTGCGTTAATGATACTTAATGTGTAATTTACCAACATTAATGTGATATTTCCAGACCAGCTTACGCAGGCGAGCTGGCGGCCCTGGAGAGCGAGATCGAGCAGCTGTGGGAGCAGTACGTGCTGCGCTACCGCTGCGTGGAGGCGCTCAAGCACCAGCTCAGCGTCTTAGAGAGCGCGCAAGCAGAGGTCAGCTCACAACCTTAATCCTTTGTTACCACTTTAAAAGCTATAGTCCAGTCATTATAGTAAGTTCACCTGTTTTTTACCTTTTCATCCGAAAAATGTTCTTGATATCATTCTATCAATCGCACATTTTGGATTAATTTATGCATGTTGTCATGTCGCTTAGTGTGCCGTGTTAGATTCTCGCTAAAAGAAAAAAAAATAAGCTCAGAAGAAAGACAACAATATTGGAATTATGGTCGGGTGGTCGCTGCTCCACCCCTATTGGCTGTAGGGTGATGTTACATAACCTAAAACCATCCTTGATAAATGGGCTATCCATAACAAAAAGAATTTTTCAAATCCGACCAGTAGTTCCTGAGATTAGCGCGTAAACTACTTATTAAAATTTTTCATACGGTCATAACTTTTTACTGACAGCTTATTTTTTTTTCGTCCCATAATGAAAGCTATAAGCCAATATAGGTCTCGTTAGTGGTGGACATTTGGACCACTTTTGGTCATTGTCCTTTCAACAACAACTTTTAGGGTGTCAATATACAAGTATTTACAGATTTACAGCTGGGTATCTCGAATTCCGAGATTCTTACCTAATTTAAGCTTAAATGACTGGACTACTAATCTAGTAGACACGCGGTCGCGTGTCCCGCCAATTTTAAGTATAATTAGAACTGGCGACCAGCACCGTGTGTAATATTATGGTGGACCAGACCCGCGGCAAACTCGACATCCTGCTCACTCAAGAGCAGGGTGAGCAGGATGACTAGCGTGCCGCGCGAGCCCGTTCGCCCAGTTTGGACGCACCATTACACGAACCATTTGGAGCCACTTTTGACCTATACTATATTCTCATTTACCTATCTATATTTTTTACTCAATAAGACATACTATTGATTCTGTTGGTCAAACGAGATGATTGATGACCTTTATGTATTTTATATCTAACTTGTTCTCTTTTATTGATAATCAGGCAGCAGAGGAGCAACAGGCAGCAATAATGCAGCTCATCCACAAGTACGAAGCGGAGGATGTTTTGGGAAAACTAAGCGATTCTGGTGAGAAATACTAGACCTACTTATGTTTCAAAACTAGATAATTACTTACGTTATTAACGATCACGTAAATTAATTTGACTGATCGCCGACTGTTTCAGATGACATGGACTCCAGTGACGAAGGGAAAGACTTGAGCGAAGTGAAGCAGCCCAGGCCAGCCACGAGACCCAAAACTCGGCTCAGAATCAAAACTGCAGGTAAAATGTTCAACAGGCTCGCTCGATGAATAGACAGAGACCTGATGATGACGATAATAGAAGATGTCGTCACAGCTTTGTCGTTTCTTACCTGATTGTCCAATGTTTTGGCAGGCGCAGGCGCAGCGGAGGCTCGGCGAGCGTTCGGCAGCATGGCGGCGCGCGACTCGCTGGACGAAATCCGCGACGAGGACGACTCGCGATCAGACTCCGACCTCTCCGACGCGCAGCTCTACGGTCAGTCACCGCTGTTAATGTACCGAACACGTTTCATTGTCACATCATATCAAAATTAAACAACATTGTTTTTTATTCTACCTACTTACAAAAACTTCGAAGTTGACTTTTCAAAGCAAACTAATATTCGCCAAAAACAAAAGAAAAACCGCAAAGAAAAGTTGCCTTCCCGTACAACATTCGACGATAGTCAACTGTTAACTTTGTATTTGACAGGCAACCCAATGTCACTTGAGAAATAGCGTGGTCTAAATTATTTCAGGAAACTTGTAGAAAGATATTGTAGATCATTTGCTAAATTAATAATAAGTAACTGACTTACATCGATCAAAATTATCTTCACAAAGATAAATGCCTCGGTAGATGAAAAATCAGGATCATTCACTCACTATAGTTCCAAAATACTGGACTGTCCTGTCGATGACATTGACAGTGGGGCGCCACCGTCTATACCGGATCGCTGGGTCAGATTTTTGCCATGTTGGAAACCCTTAGATTAGGTTTTATTAATCTAAGTGGAAACCATATAGTTGAACGATGGTAGCGCCCCCCTGTCATTGAGTTTGGTGGGACAGTTCAGCGTGGGTCATCTATACCTACTTTTCCGTTTTTCTTTTTTGCTAATGTCAAATGACACCACAGATAATCTATCCATCAAGATGGCGGAGAGCGTTTTATAAAAAGGTCTAATTAAAAAAAAAGTTTTTTTTTGTTTAATAAAACAATGATTCATCCAAGTTTTGTTTAAAAAAAAATTGTCTGTTATTATGACAATTTTATTGTTTCTCTCGGCAGCCGGCGGTGACGTGCCGGCGCGGTGGTCGCGCGCGCGTCCGCGGCCCGCCACGCGCACTCTGGCCGCTGCCGACGACGACGACTTCGCCGACCTCATCGAGGGTAAACAATACTTAACACCGAACAAAAGAATTCAAAACAAATACCTACGTAACGTTTAGGTGAAGCGCCATTAGCATGTGCCGAGAGTGACGGGCATGGCGTGATATCTTACGTAAACCTTGATGCAGTTTCGTTAGGAGCGCTCCTGGTACCGGAGTTCATCTTTTCAATCAACAGTAGCCCATTGCTGGACGTAAACTCCCCCAAGGAGCGCCAAAAAGCAACAAAGCATGATCTCTCGCTGCTCACCTTTACCTTCGTCTGGCTTGCTGGCATTACGCGCGACTGACGTAAGCGAAGGAGCTGCAGCCTTGTCTTTGTATAGGCTGACAGATCATGATGTTCTTCTTCTTGTCGTGTCAATAGCAGACCTATACAGTGTCAGCCCAAAACTTCGCTACAAGAGTGCCGTTGTCAGTAGCATTCGTTAAATCTTCCTACGTCCAGACTGTGCTTCATCGACAGGGGAACACTGGATGTGTTCCACATGTACCTACTCCAAGCTTGATCATAACGTTTGTCCTGCGGCAGGCGTGGAGGGCTCGGGGGCGGAGTCGCTGGGCAGCTCGTCGGAGAGCGAGCTGCGGCTGACGAGCGCGCGGCCCAGCGCAGCACCCATCAGTGCCTCCGCGCTTTCTGACAATGAGTTCTAAGCACATCTGGTAAGTCAGCTGCTTCTGTCTAGTACAGTCTTTCCCAAAGTGGGCGATAACGCCCCCTTGTAGGCGCTGGAGGCTTAAAGGGGGGCGGTAAGAGACCCAGAAAAAAAATCGGGACGTTGTGTAGAGGCTTGGGAGGCGTCATCTACTAGGAGGACTCTTAGACACCGACTGAGCTCGACTCTTGACTACAAAAATGGGGGGCGCTAAAAAATTATTTATTCTCAAAGTGGGCAGTAGTCTAAATAAGTTTGGGAACCACTGGTCTAGTATATCTAGGGTTTCTGCTCGAGCTTTCTCGAACTCGAGAAAACTCGAGAAATTTGGCTTCATTCGAGACGAGAAAAAAATTACCGGAGCTCGAGAATTCTCGAGTTTCGATTTTGAAGCTTTAATATTCTTGAAAGCCTATTTTCTTAGACAAAAGTAAGTTTTTTATTATTTAATAGGTTAACGTTGCGTTTAGACTGGCCTAGTCTTTCCTTTTTTTAACTAATTTGATTTGCAAGTAATGATCTTAACCGAAACTAATAATGTTCACCTACGATGCTAACTATCTGTTAGTTTAGGTACTCGTAAATACGTTTATTCAAGTCGTTATCTTTAAGTTTAAAAATTTATTTAAAAGTTTTTTTTGTTTGTAAATGTAGGTTTATTATCGTAATTTTTCAATTAATTTGGACTTGTGTTCTTTGGAAAACAAGTGATTCAATTGGAGCTCCAGATATTTATGGTTATTAATCCTTAAAGTACACGCGATTTTATGACTTTTGTTCCTTTAGTTAATTACTAAGTTATAATTATTCTACTAATATTATAAATGCGAAAGTTTGTGTGGATGTCTGGATGTTTGTTACTCTTTCACGCAAAAACTACTGAACGGATTTTGTTGAAACTTTACAGTATTATTGATTATAACCCAGACACATTATAACATTAATAAAAACCCGTGTTTTTATTAAATTTCAACCTATTTCAACAGTTTTAATTAAAAGACTCGAGACCCGAGAAAACTCGAGACTTTGGCCTCGAGAATTCCCGAAACTCGAGAAAAAAAATAAGTCGAGAAATCAGAAACCCTAAGTATATCCTATGCCGAAAGTCCTCAAACTTTCTTGTAGTACCGCTTTTCGGTTTTGGAAATAATGTAACATTAGTATCTAATACGAAATGATTATATCACAGGTTCCCAGGGTAAACAATAACAACATTTTAGTATAAAACAGTATATATTTGCACGTCACTTTACAAGCGGAAAATATTTCCAATACAATTAAACAATAAATATATTATTTCAATAAAAGAAATTCGTTGACTCCGCCCTATACTGACCTACACAGACGGTAAATATCTTACAGTATATTGTTCCTTAAACATTTGTATGTACAAAATTAAATTATTTACTAATATTTCCAATTACGCACCTAGCTGTACAGAACAAGAATTTAATGGAAATACTTGTTACATTTACTCCCGGTTTTCAATGATTTGACCCATTTAGCTTATGAAGATAAAATTCTAAGTAAACTATACCTACATTTCAGTTCCATTAAAATAAAAATACATTACATTTTGCTTAAAAACAATAAAGTTTAAATAACAACACTATAAAGTATCTAAAGCTACTGAAAAATTAGCACAAGTGATCTAAATCTAAGATATGTCAGCTAATATTGGATCGGTAACAAGACACGACATATTATAGCAAAAATCTTAATTAAGAAAAAATATAAATATAGTACTTATTCTACGTAAAATTTATAGTAATGGGACAACAGTAAAAAATATTGATTTTACATAATATTCGCTCTTTCGCTCAACATACGGAGCAATATCATAAAATTGGTTTGAAACTATCTCCAACTGAAGGTTACATATTTTCGTGGGTAGTCTAGAATTACTTAAAATTATGGATATAAAACATTAACGAATTGAGCAAATTTAGACTCTATCTACCAATCGTGCTCACAATTTGGCACCGGTTAGGTACAAAGGACTTCGATTCAAATGTACAAACACTACGGCCCGACGATAGTGAGGTCTTTACTTGAGTCATTACAGAAGAGTCATGAAATTTAGAATCGTCAAATTCAAAGACTAAAACTTTACACGACATTACATTTTATTCATTGAAATGTGTATTTCTCTATCTCTGTAATAACGCAAGCGTAGACTCTACCGGTCGGACTATAGGAATAAAGTAACTAAAATTAGTTAATAGCTAAGTTGTTAACACTATTGTGAATAGAGATATTCCGTTTTCATTAGGTGTCTCTACATTAAAAGTGTTCTAAAGTCTCTACATTGCAATATCTGCGTTCGATAAGTAGTCGAGATTGTTTTGGGTGGGCTAAAGTTTGTAGCAATGCACATAATATAACTAAAGATTCTGGTTGAAGATGGCTTCCACTTTCAGCCTGATCATCGCTTTGCCTTTGAGAGGTCTTGTGGTAAAAAAAGTAAAACAAGAGCTATAGCAAAAAAAAATCCTCGAATATCTCTATTCACCTAAAAATAAAGTGAACTAAATATAAATAAGACTTAGACATAGCATATAACACAGATATTTGACGATATTACACAAGTTTACAAATTTTCTGTTAGTATAGTGCCAGTATGTTAGAGCAAAGTTATTACCGTAGTACGAGAAAGCTGATTCGTTTAATATTCTGTGGAAGTCTTATTGATTTAAATAAATCTTTCTTTCTTCTTGCTTTCCTAAAAGTAGACATGTTTCAAAATATACCCCAGATATAAAAAAAGCCTTTAGTAGTCTGGTGTTGTCAAAGTGAACATTTGTATAGTGTTACGAGATAAACTTTGCTCTCTAGTGAGTGTTAATCCCCCCAATTGTTAGATCTAAAAGTGCATTGTAAGTAGGTACATAATAATATAAGGTAGAGCTAAATGTGCGTTAGTAACGTTAAGGCTATGTACAGTATGTCAGGTCATAAAGCTATCTCGTTTAGTTTGGTATGATATGTTAGCGTTAGTTCTAGCCTACCGAGTATTCAGATTCATACTACCCTACAATAACGTGATGTTTGTCCCCTACGTCTACCGCATTTAATAAATATCTTCGTCGAAGCGGTTGTTTCACCAATACAATCGATGCTTTCGAATAATATTGTTTTTCCTTCAAGTGAAACTTTGCTTCTATTGATTTGAAGAAAGCAAAGTTTATCAGAGTTGAGCTGTACTGTTAACAATGTACACCCAACTACAGATAGAATTGAATAAACTAACTACTCTACCACTTAAGGACTTTCCCACAGCTGTCAAATAGCTGATTTGCCCTGTAACGTAATGCAACGGCTGATTACCAATAGGTCTGTTCAGAAGATTACCTACTCGTTCGATTACATAGAGCTAGCTAGATATACCTTAGTTCTTTAGAAATTTCCCTAAATGTAAACAAATATGGCCAACTGACATTGACGAATTTTTAGTCTATGTTTTTGTATGAATTTTTAGTTGATCTGCTAGTGATGCGACAAAATCTCTCGTTAATCGCAATTCTGTAAACGTCATTTACGGACTGCAACGGACGATTATTAGATTTTTAAAGATCGTTTGTATAATTATTAAGATCAATCCCTCTTCTGATTGATGTTGAGATCAGTAATATGATCGTCAAAATAGGATCTTCTTAATCAAAGAAAATTTAATTTCCCCTTTTTTATTTGTTTAGGAAATATAATTTAAATTATACTGTGGGTCTAGAGTAGACAAAGTGAAGAATAAAATCGTAAACCAGTTGAAAAGTGGTCGAAAGGCCTTTTTTATGTGACACTCGTCTGTATAATAAAGGTGAATTCAAAGACTTCTTCGCAAAGTGTGTTGTTGCATTCAATGAAGAAAAAATACATTGTTGAATATAACCTCGTTTATATTTTATTTTAAATTAACATTATCAAAGTAATTTGTAATTGAAATAATTGAATACTTGAAATAAAATCGATAAAATTTACAGATTATTATCTATGAATATTGTCTATGACTTACAGATTTTCCAGAGATAGGACCTAAATTTAAACGCTAAATGTCGATTTGACATTTTAACATGAAGCACAAATTTTCACCATCCAAATATTTTGTTAAAATATTTTGTTTTCAATGTTAGATTTCATATTTGTTTCATCATGAGAATAAAGTTGGTTTCATGAGCTTGTGAAATAATGTGTATGATATTAAGAAAACGTGAGTATTATAGTGTAATTGTGTGCACAAGTGTTTGTTTACATCGATGGAAATTTCTAAAGAATTTAGGATTACGATGTTATCTCACGTATTACAGTCTACATAAATGCCGATCGATCGTTTCGTCTGTACAGCTCAATGCTTGTAGAGCGAGTCGTTCCAATACTGAAGACATCAGTACGTTGTTTGGTGATGCAGTCGACAGCACATCAGATCATGCATTGTTTTCATGATAGCACCAATTAGTCCCGGTTTCCACCTAGTTGGAGAATGAAATCTGAGGTGGAATTGTGTAAAGCAATCGTAATCATTTGATAATTGACAGTTCATAACGTACGATAAAGTCAGTTAAACAAAGCGTTTGACAGAATAATCGTACGTTATGAACTGTCAAATGATTACGATTGCTTTACTTACACAATTCCACCTCTGATTGGTTATTCAAAACATTTCTCGGCTCCGCTCCGCCTAGAAGGAAACAGGACTTTACAACTACTTAGACGCTACAGAGTTTGACGTGCCGTCGCCTGCTCCCCGTATGCTCGTCACTGGTCGCCTAAAGCCTGGTCCGTGAGCACGTAGAATTTTGACCAATGACCCCAAGCTACCCATCCTTATCGCTCGCGTGTAATTATATTGCTGTCGCGACTGTGCGACGGGTGCCCGCAGTGTGAGTGTGCGAGCGCGACAGCAACATAACTACGCGCGAGCGATAAGGATGGGTAGCTTGGGGTCATTGGACAAAATTCTACGTGCTCACGGACCAGGCTTTAGTAAATGCCGCTGGGTCGCGCAGTGAAGCCCGAGCTGAGGCTAGCGCGTGGAGTCGCTGGAGGCGGTGGTGGTACTGGCCAGCGAGTCGTGCTGCTCGGCCGCGTGCCGGCTCTCGTCGCACACCGCGATGAATTGCTCGGCGTACGCTCTGCGGAGATGGCGCGACCATTAGAAACGGAAGGTTTAAAGTTTAAGGCCCAGAACACACGGTGAAACGCAATTGCCACGAAACTGCAACTTCTAGTTACTTTTGAGTTGCATCTAAGTTTCTGCCATAGATTCCGTTGAGAGACCACACATGACGCGACCATTTCAAATTGTAATGGATCTTACACCGCGAGCAGAGTTTTAACAAAAATGCATAGTTACATCGGTTTCGTCGAGTCAAAGTGAAAAAGAGGACTGACCAAGAGGGCAAAAAGAAAGAGTAAAAATGAGCTCGCTTATCAAATCAATAGGTACTCCCGAACTCTCTCGGTGGAAAAGCAATCCTATTTTAATTACACGAAGACCGCTCCGCTAGACATTTCTACTTCATTCCACTTTGGCGGTGGAAAACGGGCTTAAATATTCTACGCTGTAAACTTTACAGTGCACAGTGTAAAGAATATGTATTTGCGAGAGGCGTTTAACCACTTATCATTACAGTTGATGGAAAGTCGTTCAAGAAATCGTACCTCTCGAGGAGTTAAAAACCTACCCCAAAAAAGCATAATTATTTCCCTTTTGTTCAGAAGTGCTGGGAAACTGATGAAATTATTTGCCTCTTGCTCGGAAGATTGCAAGGTCAGCTGGAAGAGAATGCCATTTGGCATTAAGCTTGCCTTTTTGTACTGAATATTTTTATGCGTGTGCAATAGTCTTTAAATAAATAAATGCTTGGAAACTGGAATTTTTTGCAACTCCACCGACTCCTATCCCGGACGGTCCTATCTTCCCTGTAACGTACCTGTCGAGCCCGGTGTAGGTGCGCTTGAGGTCTGCGTCGGAGACGCGGTCGCGGTCGGCGCGCCGCTTGCGGTGGATGCGCTCGAGCGAGCGCGTGAGCTGAGAGTCGCGGTCGCGCGCGTCTCGCCGCCGCCGCTCCGGCCGCGGGTCGCGCGGCGACCGTCGTCTTCTGAGACGCTGGAACAGGGAAAACGTTTTCTTGAGATTAGGCGATTATCACACTGCGCCGCGCTCCGCCGCGGTGCGCGTGTTTTCTATACAAACTGAGGTACTTGCATACAATGATTAAATCTGTAGCCCCGCGTACCGCGGCGGATCGCGGCGCAGTGTGATAATCTCCTTACAGTGGATATCACGAAGCCTAGCTGATCACAAAGTTTAAGTAACAGTGAGCTGCAGCGTATGGTGTGAAAGATCAACGACTGCTGGGAAGAAGAAAGAAAGAAAGATTTTTGAATTCTTCTAACCCGCAAATGGAGTACTAGTTTCAAACATTAGAAAAGAGCACAGGAAGTCGACTAGAATGTCAAGCATTTTTTGACATTAGTGGAAGATACACAGAATGCGAGTTCGTCTTGAAGCTGTACGTGACAATGGCACAAAAGATTCCTTAATGGTAGAGTCTAGCGATCAGAGATTTGATCTAAAGAAGCAACATACATGATGGAAGGAGTAAAAATGCGTGTGTTGACTGTAAAGTGTAAACTTCAGAATGTGACGGTAGAAGAAGCTCTAGTGCTGAGGGTACTTACACCGTCGTGCAGCGGGTAGTAGAGGCGCGCGGGCGGCGGCGGGTAGTGCGCCGGCGGCAGCGGCAGCGTCGCGTAGCGCGGCGGCACCACCATGCTCACCGGCATCCTGCCCAGCTGGAACAAACATAACAAACGCTCAACTAAACGCATATAATATCAAGACTACCGCAAACTATTAGAACTACGACTGTCCACGATTACCCAGAAAAAAGAATCAGGCTCTGGTATCCACACAACGACCACATCAATTTGAACCATATGAATTAATAGGAAGTGCTGACGGATGCAAGCAACCGAGTCGCGCGACGTGTGGGCGTGGCCTGCCGGCTACTTGCGTCGCGCGACTCGGTCGCTCACAAGGCAGTGCCGTGACGCGACAGATGCAAAATGGCCGTGTTTTCTTCGCACGAAGACGAAATTTTAATAGAATTAGTAGTAAGTTTCGTATGGGTCGCACGACTGTGTCGCGAAGATTCGTAAGTAGCTGTCGCCCTGCGACCTGCGACCGGTTGCCTGCCGCGGTCTCGGGTCGTGGTCTCTCGTCGCGGTCGTCTTGATCCGAATGCTATCTTTATACTGTGAAGAAACGGTTGAAAACCAATGACTTTTTTTGGGCCTGATTAAGGGTTAAAGTTAATACAATGCATACCGACTATTACCGACAAGCAGTGATGACAATTCATCATCATCAGGTCATTTAGTCTCCACTCCACTGCAGGAGCATGACCCTCTCTAATTTACCAGACGCAAGTAAAGAATTAATCGAGGAGAGGAGTGATGACAATATTATAGTAACCATAAGTACGCACAAATATTGAAAAAAAAAAGACGATGACCACACTTAATCCTGAAAAGTTTATTCAATTATTACATGGGCATCAATCAAGCACTTTACCTCCAATTAACTAAGCCTAGAAAGGTCCTTAAGCGTTCTAGCTGCAATTACAACCTGCGCTTTGTGAACATTGCTCGCAAACAATCTCATTCACCTGCGCAGTGACACCAATATCGATCAGCAAGGCCTTCCACATTCCTATTTGGTCCGTGATGAATTAACATCGGAGTCATAGACCTTATCCTCGATATGAATAGATCAATCTTGTCTATCAAGTGGAGATAAAAACTTTTATTTTTGATCATTATTAGATTTCTACTGCATGTTTAACTAATCAAATCAAATTAAATAGTTAACTGCCTGGTAAATCTCCTTCTTGTCATATTTCGAAGAAGAGCTTTTTCAATAAGTTATGCCCCCGTTTTACAAACAGTATTCAACGAAGATATCGGTAGACAGCTAAAGGCTCTACTGTTCGCAACAGAAAATAGTTGGCAGTTTCTGAAATTTTCTGTTTGTCGACACAAATGTATCAGATCCGAGGATCACTAGCACTTGTCTGATACATCTATTCCATGTCCGCGCCACTGGCCTACTCATTGAGGTGCTAATCCGCGCGTTTACTGCAGACCCACGTTTCGCGGTGACATACGCGCCGCGCATGTGCGTGTCACTGTGTCAGTGTTTTAGGAAAAGCTGGGCCAGGTGAGATGGAATTGGCAATGACGCCAACTGATTCACAAATCGATGAACTATTCTAGTTCAAAACAACCATTTCCCATGACCACAGAGCACAAGGCTTGGTCGTACTAAATTGAGAACAAATATTTTGTAACCACAAAAATATCAACTTTCCGCAGTTTATTCTCATCACGTATCTAACCTATGGCCTACTTATGCATCGTTTTGTTTTCTCATCATACTCGTACATCTTAAGTTACGAATTTGTTAAGAGACCCCACAACACAGCAGAGCAACATGATACTTTCTATAGCACATCGAAGCAGATAATGTAAACATAATTTAATGAATGCAACTATATTGCGCCATAATTATACGATGTCAAACATTAAAGTTGTCTCCAAACCTATGTCTCCCGATGCAATCACGATGACAGCACATGAAAGAGGTTGACATAACATCTTGGCTTGTCGTTCGTTATTCAAGCGCTCGCGCAAGCGTACACTCGGAGGCCCAAAGTTTAGGAAATTATTCGTTCATTTTATCATAATTAAATTCGCAAGCTTCTGGAATGGCGTTATTTTCACGTGTTTTCATGTTATTAAAATAATATCGAGTATATTTAATAACATTTTGTTTTCTTGAACGCTTTAAGTACCTGCATTTAAGTTAAATTGAATTATGAAACTGAACAATGCTGCAGGTACAGTATTTTCATTATAGTACGAGAGCCCACGACCAAAACCATGTCTCATAGCAATACGGCAAAAACCCTATAAAATCGTTAGATTGTATGATTCTGAACCCGACTAGGTGTGTAGTAACGGTCGAAAGTGTAGCAACTGCGTGGGAGGCCATTTCTGCTGTGTCAAAAAAAAAAGACAGTCGGTATTATAGCAATACGTCTGATAGTGAAAATGTACATAGATTTTATAATTGTATTACGAAAAAGTTTGTTTTCAGACATTTTGCGCGTAGCATATAGCCTGTGCGCATTTTTGAAAATGTCAACAAATTTAGCCGACCTGTATCATAGCAATACGGATAAACATTTTTTTCAACTTTTCGTATTGCTGCCATGATTACCAAAAACCTGTTTTCAGACACTTTAAGTGTATCAAAAAGTTGTATGATAGAGAAGGTGCTACACTTAATTCGTCTGATATAAATTTTTTGCACATGTGGACAACTTATTTAATCATGTCCAACAATTTTCAGACATATTGCTATGATACCGATCGGTAAAATTTGTTAACATTTTCAAAACGGTCTCAAAATTTAATGCGTTCACATTTTCGTCTGAAAATTGTTTTGTTCGCATCAAATAACCAACATTTACTAATAAAAAAGATTTTCAGACGTATTGCTATGAGACATTTTATTTGTCTCATTTTTAATTTTTTTAAGTGATTTTACGGGTTTGCGCTACACCACTAACGTCTGAAAAATATGTTTCCGGTATCTCAGAACTATCATTCAACTACAGTCTGCAAATCAGACATATTGCTATGATGCAGTTCGGTCAAATTCTTTGACAATTTTGAAAATTCGGTCAGATCAAACGCTACGCGGAAAATGTCTGATATTGGTATTTTCGAGTTCAGGATAATCGTATCTATCGATTTGATGCGGTTTTGGCCGTATTGCTATGAGACAAAAATTTTGGTCGTGGGCTCTCGTACTATCATAATAAGTGCAATTTTCCTGTCTTGAACAAAACAAGTCTACAAAGACGTTATTCAAAGCCGAGTATACGTCGTGACGATGGCTGACAGCCGCCGCCTCCGATGTTAATCCACTCCACGTCGTTTAACTCACAAACCCGATCATAGTTAATATTTATTAAGGGCTGCAGGAATAATGTTTACATGTTTGTCTAATCCCTGCCGGCGGACAAAGTTATTTCACCACAAAACTATTCATTTAATACCGAGGAAACTGATACTTTAAGATTGTGTCACATTGAAAGTAAGGTTTCCGTTGCAATAGTTACACGTTGCATTTGTGGTTGACATCTAACACCCAAGCGTTGGTTTTATCGCTTGATCATTACGTTGCGTTTCTCATGTGTCACCCCAAATCCAGGTATACTATACTCTAGTTCATACTCCTCCTCATATTCTTCGTTGTTACTATTGCTCTTCAGTTGTATTAGATACTGAGATTTTATAGCTCGCAGTGCGCATGTAGCAGCAGGTACTAATCCAACGTGCACCGGACCGCCTTGGTACGATTACGACCATGTTTTGTTCGCTACGCTCAAACCAGTCTATTCAGTTCGACGCTATTACCACTGTGACTTGAAAAACGCGGAAAGAGAAATGGTTAAATTTCACACACATGATTCTCTGATATAAGTATGCCAAAGTTTTTCAGAAGTTGCGGAAATCAAAAAGAAAACACGCGAATTCGCTTTTCATTCTATAGTTCAGCAGTTAGTTACTTAATCGTATATCATCGAAAAATGCCTGTTCAGCTAGAATTTTCCGTATCAAGTGTTATTGACTTTACCACACTCGCTTTGGTATCTCTTCACTATGATTTTCCTTCCCGTGCTCCCATGTTTTTCCATCGCTCCTCTTATGAACATAAAACAAGGTTGTACAAATTTGGCCAGCAGGCTGGAGANTAATAATATGTGGAAAATATTACTTTATGAGGATTTGCATTGTGGTCGGCAAATCAAAGTTTATCGATATCGATCGATCGATATTATTATCTTCTATTTATTTCATACTAAATTTTAAAATTTAAAAATGGATTGTAATAAATTGAGTGTTTTCTATCAGAATTGCCGGGGACTTCGTACTAAGGTTAGCACATTATTCAATAATATTTTAGCGGAGTGCTTTGACATTATAGTACTGACCGAAACGTGGTTAATACCGAGTATCTCAGATAATGAGCTTATGGACAGTCGATACACAGTGTATCGTTGTGACAGGAATCGGGAAGCCTGTGGTAAGACAGACGGCGGTGGTGTTTTGATAGGTGTGCGTCGCGAGCTGGATGTCACTCGTTGTTATTTGAATTCCGGTTTGGGTAATAGCGATAAAAATAATGATTTGTTCGCTGGACGTATTGAGTACGTGCTTCTTAAGTGTTATGGTAGAACTACGAATAACTACACCATAGTTTGTGGTTTATATATACCGCCTAATCAACCTGTACAAATATATGATAGAATCTTAGACTCATTACAGAAGGAAATATTATTACCAGAGGTTAAGTATGTTTATATTTTTGGAGACTTTAACCTGCCACATATACAGTGGAGCGATCCTTTACTCAACTCGACGGCCCTTGACTTGCAAGATTACAGTAATGTTACAACTACACTTTTATTTAACTTTTTAGCAATTACTAATTGTAAACAACATAATCTTATATTGAATAGTAAGGACCGAATTCTTGACCTATTTTTGACTAACGATCCCACGTCTACCTGTGAACCTTCTACGAACCCTTTGGTGCCGATTGACCCTTATCATCCTCCTTTTTGCGCACTCTTGTTACTGAATGTGTTAAACGATACAATGCCTAGAGCTTCTATATTAAAGTATCGTTATATTGAAGGTAACTATGATGATGTTAATACTGCCATCCGTAATGTTGACTGGGCTAAGAGATTTGAGGGGCTTTCATTGGAACTAGCAACAAACCTTTTTTATGATATTTTATATAATATTATAAAGGAGCACATTCCGCTGCGTCCTAGCAAGTCGAATGACTTTCCTGTCTGGTTTAGTCGTCCNCCGCCGTGTAGGGCGGGACGTCCGCGGAAGGCGCCTTGGTCGTTTCTAGTACCCAAGGCGCCGACCAATATGCGGCAGAGGGAACACCCCAGGTTTTTAGTGGGTTCGAGCCCCACATAACCTGCCGTCCCCCGGCGGTAGGTATGGATAGGCCATTTTCCTGGGTATAAAAAAAAAAAAAAAAAAAAAAAAAAAAAAAAAAAAAAAAAAAAAAAAAAAAAAAAAAAAAAAAAAAAAAAAAAAAAAAGGTTGTACAAATTAATAGTAAGGCATTTGGAGCGTTAGACAAAGGCCTGTGCAAGGTGCGGAGAGACGCGGCCAGGCCGCCGCGATCATCGACTCCGGCGGGTATCGAGTGCTCGCGAGATATATCAGGTACTTGTCAGATTCAGATTGGAACAAAGGAGAACATAATTAAAGACAGTACTTAACGTTTTCATTGTAATTTCATATTGAGTCCGGAAATAAGAGGATAATTTGAAAAAAAGAAAAGCTCATGCACTTTCTTCTTTGAATTTGAAGGAAAATTTCGACAACTCTATATTTGAAACTTTGTTGACTCGAATCTCTTTAGAATCGAACAATCGCAAAAGCGTGGCCGCGTCATCAGGGGACGGATCACACACTCATTAAGCTGATGGGCTGTGACGGCAAACATCGGTTGTTTGGAAAGGCCACGTCGCTGTGTGTACTCTAGCTAGTACACTTGACCATGGGAACGCACTTACTTCCGTTTATAGTGTCCTGGCGCACTGTAGATACATAAACGACCACACACAATCACATCATAGTGTAACTCTTGAAGAGACAAGTTAGGTAAACATCAGTAGTTCTCTCTTTCCACTTCGGTTGAAAAATTGTATATGACATATTAATCAGTACTTCGTAAACCGTGTAGAGCCAGTGATAAACATTTAAAGCCAACAATTTGAGAAGTGATTTATTACGAAGGCTTTCCTAGAAACACCAAAACAAGTGTGAGAATGAGATGGCCGACCATTCATCATCGTTACGACCTGCTTATGGGACGCAAATATTTTGCTGGGATTTTACACGGAACGATTTTATGTTTCTAGCTGTAGAGTGTAGATCCTGGGTAAATGGAAGTCACAAACGGCAGGTGTAAATGGAACACCTTGTCTTTTTAAAATCATAAAGCACGTAAATATTTACTCATGTTTTGGTCATTCACATGCCGTTAATCGCTTGGTGTAAACCTATTCTTAACTGGCTGACCTTGTGTGTCCGAATTAGAACCCCACTCACTTGTGTTTTCAACTGTTTTCCCACCGTTATGGTCAAAGCAAATTTAAACTTTTAGTTAAACGAATAAAATTCAGTTTTACTTCAAGAGTTTGAATTTTATTTTTGAGAAAAAGTCGACACGGTTGCCGGCTTTGTTTGACAGTCATTCTCGAGCAATTAAAGTTAGGGAAATTGTTTGTAATAAAATAATAGCTTATTATAAATGTAAAGAAATATTTAATTACTGGGCGATTCTCGTTTGGCATTGCATTTTATTACAAGTTAATTTGATTAGAAAACTTCTAACGGAATTTCTCATAAATCCTAACTACTCGTACATGGATTCCATGACGCGTTAGAGTCAATGCCCTGCGCTATGTTAATCAAATAACTTCCTAGTGAAAGCCATTACCGGATTAACACTACATTGATTTAATTTTCCATCATGTTTTACAACGCCTCGGAATATCGAGCTGCACTCTGATCAAACAACAAAAAGCTGCGCGCGCGACTATTACCGCGCGGGTAGGGATGCTACGATTATTGAATTACTAATGACATCGATAAAAAGATATTAAATGATATGATAATGTAAATATCTATAGAAAACAATCAAACTACGAGGCAATAAGATTAACAACATGAGTACCTACCTACATACACAACATAGTTTAGTTGCTACAAATACATTTGAACACTAACTCATTCGTGATTAAATAAAAATATGTTTAAGGAAGACTAGGCTTGAACAAAATGTTATGAAAACTAGACGGGGTTATCAAAATATCGATACTGAAAATAGTTAGCACCCCTACGCACGGGGCGGAGCGTTTGATTTACGTGGCGCGCGCTCTCACGCGACAATGCGCGGACCACCGGCCGTCGGGAAGACGCGACCGTTACGAGCCTGTAACGGGAGTGCGATACAATACGCTTCGCCGTCATCCCGGACGCCAGCCGTGGCGACGAGGCCATCAAGGACAATGAGCAGGAACGAAGCGCAGAGTAATGTTGCTACAGCACTCTACAAGTCACAAAAGGATAATGGACACTTGTGATGTCATCGTCAGGAATCAATTGACTGACTTTATTGACATCAAAGCTACTAAAATATGCCACCTGGCATTAAGTCCGCCACTGTACATATGCATGTGCAAAAGTGTAAATAAATAAAAATAAAAAATAAAATAAGATTTTACAGCGAACTCAATTGTGAGCCAACCACATAAATAAACAGTAGCACGTAAATAACACTGCGTTACACGATTTTGGTACCCGTTAAACTGATAGCTGGAATGAATAGGTAATTAGTCTTAGATNAGTCGTCCTTTGATTCATATATTTAAATCTAAACAACGCGCCTGGGTTAAATGGAAAACCTATAAAAATATATCAGATTATGAACAATTTTCATTATACCGTAAAAGGTTTAAAAAGCTCTCATCCGAATGTTTTAAAACTTATATAAAAACTGTAGAAAATGGAATCAAAAAAGATATGAAAGTATTCTGGTCATATGTGAACGGCCGTAAAAAAAGTAATGGCATTCCCAACACTGTACGTTATGGTGATCGTGAGGCATCTAGGCCTGAGCTTATCTGCAGCTTATTCTCTGATTTCTTTGCTTCTGTGTATGAAAGTAGGAATGCAGACATATCACAGCAACCTGAAATGTCATCTTTATCTGAAAATTGCGAAATTATGTCTGATTTATGTATTTCTGAATTCGCCATAGAGGTTGCATTGAAGACTTTGGATGTTGCTAAGGGCCCTGGCCCGGATAAAATCCCACCTTTTTTTATCAAAAGAGTCGCTGAGTCAATTAGTATTCCATTATTTTATTTATATAACAGAAGCTTGAGGGAAGGGTTTGTTCCTGGGTACTGGAAGGCCGCCAACGTTATCCCTGTGCACAAAGGTGGTTCTAGGAATGATGTTGAGAACTTTCGGCCGATCTCTTTGCTTTCCACCTTTTCGAAGGTTTTGGAAAAGTTAGTCCATAATGCTATATATCCTAGATTACATCGTGTCTTAATGTCTGAGCAGCACGGTTTCGTTAGAGGTCGCTCAACAGTCACTAACCTTCTACTATACACGACTTTTTTATTTGAGAACATGGATCAGGGGCGACAAACGGATGCCGTTTATACGGATTTTTGCAAGGCCTTCGATAAGGTGGACCATGCTATATTGCTGAAAAAAATTGCGTATAACGGAATACGCGGAAACCTTTGGCGCTGGTTTTCCTCCTATGTTTCTAACCGGTCACAGAGGGTAGTAGTGAATGGGTACACTTCTGCAGNATATTTTGTGTACCAGATGATTTCCGGCACCTGTTCTACTGCAAGCACGTTGAAAGGCTGCTGTGCAGGTTAGTCGCTAAACTACATCGACAATACGGAATAAGTATGACGTCATAGGATCTTTAATCGGTAGTCCGACTTCGATACCATTGGACTGTAATTGATTAGGTCATTCAGATCCAAACGGGCCACCGATCAAAGCCACTACTGGTGACAATCTGTTTATATTATTTTGATACGCTTTGCATCAAATCGCTGCGAGTGTTTAGCGAGCGGCGTTCACTCGCGTTATGCGACACGCCATCTGTGGCGGCAATTTGTAACTTAGTATAGTATTTTATTTTATCGATGGGCCGTCGTTTGCGCAGCCAAAGGGCGTAGCGCTTTGACGCCTACCGATGGCTGTGGTCGGTGGCCCGTATGCGTTACGTTAGTTTTTTTTATGAGTGTTCACTTATTTATAGGATAGTACAACAAAGTGGTGAGCCTAAGGCAGGGATGCACAGACTAATTGCAATGGGACCAGGGGCCAGTCGTTCAGATTGTAAGATAACTAAATAAATAAATAAATATCCTTGGACATTTTTACACTGCGCCGCTAGCCCCAAACTAAGCAAAGCTTGTATTAAGGGTACTAGACAACGGATATAAACATACTTAAATACTTTTTTTTGTAAATACATATTATACATAGAAAACACCCAGACCCGTCATAGAAATTAAAATTCATCATTTCAATTTCTGCCCGGCCGGGAATCGAACCCGGGACCTCTCGGCATAGTAGTCCGTTCTGAAGCACTACACCAAACGGCCGACAACTGAATCCTTTATTCAGTTCAAGTTGTTAATTTTTTTCTATTTCATTAGGTCGCTGGCGGGCTGCACATACATTTACAAGGGTCCGCGGTTTGTGCATCCTTGGCCTAAGGTTACCTACTCTTCTTTAATGAGTGTCCATTTCCAGAGTCTGGCTGTACAACAAAGTGGTGAAGCGGTTCTCGGAGGCGCGGCTGTACGCGGACGCGTTCGCGCTGCGCCAGCGCATGCTGAGCTGCGTGCAGCACGTGCAGTACTACATGTGCGTGGAGGTGCTCGAGCCCTCCTGGTGCCAGCTCATACAGAGCCTCGACAAGGTCAGTGACACCACGTCAAACTAAACACTGACATCTTATCACATAATAATAATNTTCTGCAGAGGAAATAATTGTAACTTCCGGAGTGCCACAGGGGTCTATTTTAGGCCCACTATTATTTATTCTGTTCATAAATGATATAGGCAACTGCTTCAGGAACACCAAATTTCTCTTATATGCAGATGACCTTAAAATATTTAGAAATATTGAGAACGAACATGACTGTATTGCGTTTCAAGAGGATCTGGATCGTTTTTCCAAGTATTGTGTTGATAATAAACTACAACTGAGCATATCCAAATGTAAAATGATTACATTTACAAAAAAAGTTAGAGTTATTAATTTTAATTATGAACTTATTGGGACGAAACTACACAAGGTTGAAACCATCAAAGATTTGGGTATCATTCTTGACTCAAAATTACACTTAGACACACATATTAATTCTATCATAAATAAAGCTTTTCAATTATTTGGATTTGTTATGCGTACTTGCAAAGATTTTAGAAAGGCATCAACATACATTACTCTGTACAGGACTCTTATCAGATCACAACTTGAATACGCTTCAGTAGTTTGGAACCCCTATTTTCAGAAATATAATAATCAACTTGAAATGGTTCAAAAGAAGTTTATTCGCTCAGTTAATTATAAGTGTTCTCGTGCTAAATGTTCTTATACTAGCCTTCTTGAGAGGTACTCACTTTTATCACTACTATCTAGAAGATTATTGTTGGATCAAACTGTTCTGTACAAAGTCCTCGGCGGTCTGTTTGATTGTACACAGTTAACTGACCACATATTCTATCAGTTGCCCGGTCGCTCCCTACGTCTCCGCAACACTCGTACACATGGTGTTTTTGCACCCGGAATTTGTAAGACTATAGCGGGCCAACGCGCACCGCTACGGCGTATCATGCATTCGTATAATAAAAACTTTGTGGACAACTTATTTTATCATGTCCAACAATTTTCAGACATATTGCTATGATACCGATCGGTAAAATTTGTTAACATTTTCAAAACGGTCTCAAAATTTAATGCGTTCACATTTCCGTCTGAAAATTGTTTTGTTCGCATCAAATAACCAAAATTTACTAATAAAAAAGATTTTCAGACGTATTGCTATGAGACATTTTTTTTGTCTCATTTTTAATTTTTTTAAGTGATTTTACGGGTTTGCGCTACACCACTAACGTCTGAAAATAATGTTTCCGGTATCTCAGAACTATCATTCAACTACAGTCTACAAATCAGACATATTGCTATGATGCAGTTCGGTAAAATTCTTTGACAATTTTGAAAATTCGGTCAGATCAAACGCTACGCGGAAAATGTCTGATATTGGTATTTTCGAGTTCAGGATAATCGTATCTATCGATTTGATGCAGTTTTGGCCGTATTGCTATGAGACAAAAATTTTGGTCGTGGGCTCTCGTACTAATATTATGTAATTGTTTGTTGTTCTGAATAAAATAAAATAAAAATAAAATAAATCAGGTCGTCGGTCCACCTTGTGGATGGATATTAATAATATTTATTATTTAATTTTTATTTATTAATATTATTCTTATTTTCCAGCCTAACTCCCCGCGAATTCAACTCGTACGGGTCACGACGTGGCAACGACGCGATCATGTCGCGCGGAACGTTCGCGAACATTCGCCTCGTGAACAAGATGGCGCCCACAGCTGGGCCAAGGACCACCCACCATCCCAGCGGTGACGTTATGGATATTTTCGATGCTGCAGAGAGGTAATTTAATGCTCTATTAGATTCTAGAACTACGAGCGAACATTCGGCTTCCGTGGCAATAATACATTCGCGAACATTTGCCTCGTGTTCAAGATTATTCGACGCTGCAGAGAGGTAGGTTGGATTTATTTAATAGACTCTAAGGGCCGGTTGCCACTGCTCCGCGCTCCGCTGCAGCCGATTTCAAAAACTGAAACTGTCAAAACGAGACTCCAATAGATTTTGTACGGCAATACTAGCCAATGACGTCACTATTTCGTCAATGAGGGTTATCGTTTTTATACTTAACAGTTGGCACCCCTGGCGATTGACAGGACCTTACTCTACAGTAGCGCCATCTTGATGAGTGCAAATGCGATAGTCCTCCTACCACTTTAGCGCTCACCAGTTGGCGCCACTGTCTTCGCTACTAGCAAGTGACAGGACCTTACTCTACAGTGGCGCCAACTGGTGAGCGCTAAAACGATAGCCCTCATTCAAACTACATTTTTCAATAACAATGCAACCAAAAATCTTGGTTTACAGGTAATTTAAAATTAATTAAGTTTTTAAGACCAGAACGAAGTGCCTTTTAAAAAAAGTTGTCATCATCATCATCATCTCAGCCATAGGACGTCCACTGCTGAACATAGGCCTCCCCCAATGCTTTCCATGTTGATCGATTGGTAGCGGCCTGCGTCCAGCGCTTCCCTTCTACCTTTATGATGTCATCAGTCCACCTTGTGGGTGGACATGGTGGTGATGGCAGAATCGTTGGAAGATCTTGGCACAATGCTCGAAGACTTTAATCGAGTCTCCCAAAAGGTAGGCCTGAGGATAAAAAAGTTGTGCTTTAGAATTATTGGGAAGTGGTGGCAAATATAGTCCGGTCCGGGAGCACGTAGAATTTTGTCCAATGACCCCAAGCTACCCATCCTTATCGCTCGCACGTAATTATGTTGCTGTCGCGCTCGCACACTCACTGCGGGCGCCCGTCGCACAGTCGCGACAGCAATATAATGAGGGCTATCGTTTTTATACTTAACAGTTGGCACCCCTGGCGATTGACAGGACCTTACTCTACAGTGGCGCCATCTTGATGAGTGCAAATGCGATAGTCCTCCTACCACTTTAGCGCTCACCAGTTGGCGCCACTGTCTTCGCTACTAGCAAGTGACAGGACCTTACTCTACAGTGGCGCTAACTGGTGAGCGCTAAAACGATAGCCGTCATTACGCGCGAGCGATAAGGATGGGTAGCTTGGGGTCATTGGACAAAATTCTACGTGCTCGGAGACCAGACTATAGATTTGGTTTGTATTTCCAAGTTTTAAATTAGTTACTACTCGTGTTTCCAGGTACGCGTCTGAAAACGTGCCTCTCATCGCGGTGGTGGGGAAAGACTACGGTTCCGGATCCAGCCGAGACTGGGCCGCCAAGGGACCGTATCTGCTGGTAAGAACAACGCCCGTGTTCACAAACATTACTGTGAGGTCTCACAGAGCAGACGCACAGGGTGACACACGAAATCATAGAGCTCTATTCAACGCAATGTAGCAAGCATTGTTTGTGAATACGGGCGTAAGTATTGTGTTGTGACAAACATGTACCTTTTTTATTTATTTTTACTCTAATTTCAAGAATTAGTATTGTGACAAACTTGTACCTTTTTATTTATTTTCAGTCTTTTTTTAGGATAATTCCACTTTGTTCACCTGGGTGATTAAAGTAAAGGTCATAGTACCCGTTTGCGCTAAGTTTGCCGGTCCGTGGAATGCGCGTCCCTTCCAACCGCGATTAAACGCAATTAGTTAGTGATTAAACGCAATTAATGTGTCTTATTTCACGCAAATACACAATTTTTATGAATAATAATAAATAAAAAATATTTTAAATATCTATACTTATTATACTCATATTAATATTATAAAGCTGAAGAGTTTGTTTGTTTGTTTGTTAACTTGAACGCGCTAATCTCAGGAACTACTGGTCCGATTTGAAAAATTCTTTCAGTGTTAGAAAGCTCATTTATCGAGGAAGGCTATAGGCTATATAAAATCACGCTACGAGTAATAGGTGCAGAGCAAAAATGATTGTCACGCGTACGAAGTCGCGGACACTGCTAGTAGTTTGATAAAGTTATAGACGCTTCCCTTCCAGTGACGTCATATCGCCAGCGGCAAACTTAAAGCGAACGGATAGTAGCAGACTTATCAACTCGGAAAGGGATCATCACAGTATCGCCTTTCGCGAGCTGTCAGACACCGACTGAGTAAAGGCCAATAGAAGCAACTTTTTTGGTGCATAATTTGCTTGGAAAAGACAATGCCGGAAATTGGCGTCTTTTTTTTTCGCGCGGCCATCGACCAAACCTTGTTTTTTGATTACAAAATAGTGTAATAAACCAAACTTACTATGACATGTATACCTCTAAACTCAGTCTGAACTGAGTTACGAGCATTAGAAGTTTGATGTAAGATTTGCTTTTTGCGCGCAAGTTTTGTAAGAAATTGCTACAAAATAGTGACGTTTTTTTTTATTGCGCTGATTCTGCTCCACACTGATGATGGAGCCTATAATGGATGGTATTGTTTGTTTACACATACAATGTTACTATTTTGTAGCAATTTCTTACAAGTCTGAACTGAGTTACGAGCATTAGAAGTTTGATGTAAGATTTGCTTTTTGCGCGCAAGTTTTGTAAGAAATTGCTACAAAATAGTGACGTTTTTTTTTATTGCGCTGATTCTGCTCCACACTGATGATGGAGCCTATAATGGATGGTATTGTTTGTTTACACATACAATGTTACTATTTTGTAGCAATTTCTTACAAAACTTGCGCGCAAAAAGCAAATCTTAGTATGTAAAACATCAAACTTCTAATGCTCGTAACTCAGTTCGGAGTTCACAGGTATACATGTCATAATAAGTTTGGTTTATTACACTATTTTGTAACCAAAAAACATGGTTTGGTCGATGGCCGCGCGAAAAAAAAAAGACGCCAATTTCCGGCATTGTCTTTTGACTATGAGTACTCCGTTTCATTAAAAATATTTTTCCACTTTTCCAGGGCATCAAAGCAGTCATAGCGGAGTCCTTCGAACGTATCCACCGGTCCAACCTCGTAGGCATGGGCATCATGCCGCTGCAGTTCCTTAACGGAGAGAATGCGGAGAGCCTCGGCCTTAGCGGAGCGGAGACCTACTCGATCGACGTACCGGAGAACGTGGCGCCTGGACAGAATCTTACTGTACAGGTTAGTTTTTAAATAAAAACATTCGTCGAAATGTAAGTAGAAAAAAAATTCTAAGTTGTGCCACGCTCAATGTAGGGTTTCGTAGTTGTCCGTCGTTAGCATAATGTATTTCAGAAGCAAGCAATTACTTCATCTAAAGTCACTTTTAATATTTTGTTCTAAGGAATTTTTATCACGTAAGAAATTTAATTAGTAAAAAAATTTCTTAGATTCTTTCTTTATAGTTTCCTTGAAAGCACTATTATAATAAAAAAATAAAAAAAACATTTATTTCAGGCCAGGGCCCATAAAATTTCAATAATAATTGCATTAAATAATTAAAAAAAAACATATTCAATCAATCATAATAATAGAGAGAAATAAAATAAATTAAATTGAAAAAAAAAAATAATTAAAAATTACATAAAAATTACATTAATAATGAATTTTCCCAGATTTTTCAAGCTAACAGTTTAATTTTTAGAGGGGGGGACGCTCAAATCACGGTATACAATCCTTAAAACCCCGTTAGTAAGCACTTAACTTCTCATCCTTATGGCACAAGTACACTATGCAGGAAATTGGCCAAGACATAATAGTGTGAACACCATCTCGGTTACTTTCTCCGTTTCCCTCGCGTGTGTTGTCCATACTTCGGTGTGCAGGCTAGCGCTTCAACCGCATAGTGTATTTGCGCCTTTAGACCAATCTATCGGCCGATTTTGTGTGTAGTTTGCGGGGAGTCTTATACAATTTAGTTCCAATTTTCGCCGCTACCAAAGTAATAGCGCTGTACCAAGCTTTCGCAACTCGAGTTGGTAGTTCGTGTGTTTTTGACTAGATGGCGCTGTGCTGTTTTAGCTCGCGCTAACATTTGATTTTTTCTGGATCTACTAATGTTGAGCGTCCACTTTGGCTCGATGGACCGACGATCTAAAGGTCGTTGTGGAAATCCTATTTTTGGAAACAGTGGTCCAGTCTCGGCTGGAGTAACACTGTCGGAAACTCTTATAATTTAGCGCGGAGGTTCGTGCTTTTCTCATTATGTATTAGCACGAAATCATGCTTTTATTGAGCCAATGCTCAATATTGTAGCACGTGTCTCAACATTGCTAGTTAATGAGCATGATTCAAAATCAACTGACGTTTAATTTAGCGTCTGAACAGGTTTTAAGCATGCTTAATTAAGAGTAAGCATATAAAAGCATGCTTATTGCTGGCAAACGTAAACATTGCAGAGCCATGCTTAATAAGCATTGCTTGTATCATGGTTTTTAAGCACGTCTCAGTATTTGTTCGCGATAAGTTTGCCGCTGGCGATGTGACGTCAATCAAAGGGAATCGTCCTAAACTTTATAGCAAACTTAATGAGGATCAGTACTGTTGTAGAAAATTCAATAAAACTAGTATCTACGTTAATCTTTAAGACATAAGAAAGATATATCTTTTTGAATTATCCAAATCGGACCATTACTTACGAAGATATTAAGTAATAAACATAGGCCGTTTTTGCCGCTAAAAGTCAACGTACGCAAGGCCGCGTGACGTCATTATATCCGAATCGAGCGCAGCCGGCGTACTAATGGGATGGAAAATATTTTTTTCCGGCTAAACTATCAGCTTTAGAAAAAAACTTTTAATAACATTTATTCTTCAAAATAAAGTAACCTATCGACCAGTAATTTTTAAAAATAAAAATTGTGAAAAATAAGTATTGCTATGTCCAAAAACCACATTTTCATAGGATTCGATGCAATGCGGAGACGCGGTTGGGGTGAGTGTAACTTAATGATTGTTTAAATTACCTATCGATAGCTTACTTTATTCTGATGAATAAATGTCATTACAAGTTTTTCTCTAAAACTGATAATTTGGCTAGAAAAAAATATTTTCTATCCACGCAGTACGCCGGCAGCGTTCGGATCGGATATAATGACGTCATCGTCCCCGCGCCGGGCGGTCAGTGAACTTTTTTAGTAATTTGGCCATAACTTCGTCAATTTTTGTCGTAGAACAAAAATTTTTGCACTGTGTATTAAGGATTTCTTAGCCCTATAAATCTGCATTCACAGCTAAAAATCGAAATGATCCTCATTGAAAATATTTTTTATATATTGTTGAAGTAGCAATTGCTCAATAATGGCTTGATTTAGTGCTAATAATGAGCATGTGGAACTGTACTATGGGCCACAGTTCTAGCTAAAAAAGTCATTTTGACCAAGAAGGACTGATTTTTGCAGTCAAGAGTTGTTTTGACTGCAAAATCCATACTGACTGAACAGCCCGACCCAACTATCAACCGAGAAAAGTCTGTTCTGTGGCTAGGCATATTGTCTGTCACAATATTGATTGGGATGGTAATAAAAAAAATCTTAGCGATTCTCTAAGCCAGTGGTTCCCGAATGGTGGTCCGCGGAACCCTGGGGTACCGTGGAAAGGCCGCAAGGGTTTCGTAAAAAATATTATCCCACGTTTCGTGACCGACGTTGTTCGCTCGCACCACAAAAAAACCCGAAAAACCCGAAAAAACCGGTTTAGTTCGGTTTTTAAAAATAAAAACCGAAAAAACCGGTTTTTCCAAACCGCTCGGTTTTTGCATGCCCTAGTGGTGATACTAACTTGGCCTGGTCGCTAGGCTCGGCAGCCAGCGCTCGCTTCTGCTGGAAGCTTCTCCTGACGTGGTGGATGTTGGGCAGCGACATGAACTGGATGTCCGCCATCGGGTAGTACTGTGAACTTGCAGCGACCGGTGAGCAGCCAAGATTCACAGCAAAAGCAGTGGCTCTGTATAAGTGACNATGACAAGAAGACAACCCTGGCGCGACGGCCGAGCGTGCGAGCGAGAGAGGTATGCAAAGCGAGGTACATACATGAGTTTACCTTCTGTTATATTTTGTGCTCGCACCGACTTGTTTGCGCACAAGGGAGGGGCAGGGCGTGCGGGCGGAGTAGTACGGGGGTTCCGCTAGGAAAAGTATAATCAATTAAGGGTTCCTTGGCAAAGAAAAATTGGGAAACCCTGCTCTAAGCGACTCTTCGCTTTTCAAAGTATTTTTTTGTATTTGAAGCTTTTTCCCGCGGCTTCTTCACCCGCGCGAAATTTAGTTTGTCACAGATCGTTATAAATTATAGCCTAATACAGTAGAATCCCGATTATCCGGATCAATTTAAACCAGGGGTGTTCCGGATAATCGAAAATCCGGATAATCGATTTCAAAGAAAAATCAAACAAAAATTAACTTTTATTTTAAAAAATTAACTTTTTACAATAGAAAGGGTTTTGAACACATCATTTAGAGTCTATAAATCTAAATTTTAAACCATTTCTTTTAACAATGAACTAAGACGAAGTCCACACCGTGTTACGGTGGCGGCGCCTTCCGTTTTTATGGGTCCAACCCTAAATCAGTAATTAGAAACTGTGAAGAATGAGTCCGGATAATCGGATGTCCGGATAATCGAAGTCCGGATAATCGAGATTCTACTGTATGTTATTCTGGGTTAAAGAATAATACTGTAAAGTTTCATCAAAATGGAGTAACAAACAACCAGACATCCAAACTTTCGCATTTATATTATTAGTAGAATCGTATTTGTAATATTAATAGTAGTTATTTTTTCAAGTTGTTTACTTAAAATTGAGATGGTAGTACATATATTCACCACTAGATGGCGTTGTCCCGTTTTAGCTCGCGCTAACATTTGATTTTTTCCGGATCTACTAATACTGAACGTCCACATTGCCTCGTTGGACCGACGATCTAAAGGTCGTTGTGGAAAACCTATTTTTGGATACAGAGTGGTCCAGTCTCGGCTGGAGTAACACTGTCGGAACGTATTGTAATAAGTTGTTTGTGTAAGGCCCAGAACAGACGGTGAAACGCAACTGCAGCTTTCTGATGAATGAAACTGAAACGGAAAGTTTCAAACTGGTCGCGNGAACCACTTTTCTTTCACGACTATGAAAAGATTTTAGCAATTTAATTCACAAAATCAATTGCGCACATTTAAAATAAAGTTTGTTTACACTTTGACAGCAATAAACAGACATGCAAGGTGACATGACAATGAAGTTTTCAGTTACTGTTGCCATTAAAAGAAATTAGTACCATTAGTTTTCCGCAACATGGCGAGGGTTTTTATGTTCCTGGTCAGGCTATAATAGTATTAAAGAGGCGATAGAGAAGAATCAAAGCTCCAAAATGTTCGCAAGAGACAACTCTAGCAAAGCCAGCTGACGAAGCTAAAGACAGCGGACGGTAATGTAACATCAACAAAGGGTTCTGGGAGAGATCGAAAAGTTTTTATGGACAGCTATACAGGGTGTTAGGTAAATGGGTATATGAGCCGACACTAGCCCATGTTAACGTGATCATATAAATGATATGGTGAAGTGAGAAAATTGATATCTTCATTTTAATTATTTTAATTTTCATACAAATCGGATTTTCTAAAATTTATTTTGTATGAAAATTAAAAAAAATAAAATGATATCAAATTTCTGACTTCACCATACCATTTATATGCCCATGTTAACATGGGCTAGTGTCGGCTCATATACCCATTTACCTAACACCCTGTATACCACGGTCACCTAACCTGTTAATAGCTCAACCACAGGATAGTTCCACCAAGAGCTAAGCTAACTCGACAATATATCGAAGATATCCCGGACATCAGCCTATACGAGATTAGGATGGCTCTCATACAACTAAAAAACAACAAGGCACTGGGTGATGATGGAATAACCTCGGAGCTTCTGATCGCGGCGGGTGGAAAACCGATACTGAAAGTCCTTCAGAGACNGTATGAATTTATTTTTCTTATATTTTTATACCTAAATGATAAAAAATAAACTCGATTGATGTATAAAAATCTGGTATATTTTAGTAGATTTCTATAAATTATGTTTGATTCTTTCAGTCTTAAGCATAATTTGGCACATCCTCAGGGAAAAAAATGAGACGTGATGGGAAGAAAATATCCATGTATTCTTACTAAACGAAAGGAATTAATAAGAAAACGCGACATTTCAAAGCGGGTACTTA